GATTTTTAAGGGGAGGTCGCAAAATTGACCTGACCTTAGGTCATCGATATCAAAATTCTGAGATATACATTTTGTACATGCTATTGCTCTTAGCAATCGCTGAAAGTTTCAAAGCGATCGGTCACTCGGTGTAGCTATGACAGACATTGAAACTTTTTATGAGGTAAGGTCACTTCGAGTGACCTGGTGACCTGACCTTGAATGACCTTGGTCTGAAATTTTCACAACATGTGTAGAATTGATGTATGATAAGGTGTACCAAAAACGGCGGCGCTCCGCGCCGCCGTTTTTGAGATATTCGCGAAAAACCACAAGGGGGGGTGTTCAAACACCCCCCAGCAGGGCGCGGGTTAACGGTTTTTGTTCGCGGTTGCAGCGCTTCCCTTCACACAAAAAAAACGAGAAACTTTTGTTCACACTCGAGTGAACAAAACACTTCCTCTCACTGGAGCAAAGATGAATTACTTCCGATTCACACTTCCGACACTCACTATCCGCTGAATGCCCAACTTAGCTACGATCGGCGGCTGGGATAAGTCCTATGCATTTCACGTAAAACCTCTGCATGCATGCGTGAATAGAGGTCTTAGCAGGGTGATTCGATTAAATGGAGCTTTTTTCACCTTTTTCTGGGTAATGATCATGAGCGTCGAGCGTCTGCACAGGGGCCCTCTGCAGTGCGTCGGAAATCGCAGCCACTATATATGTACAGTGGCGCGGGAACTTCTTCCAGACTGGGGGGCTGAACCATAATAGAAATCAACCTAGGGTACCCCTAAATCTATGTAGTTTTCTCACCGGTTTTAGGCCACTTATTTTTCAGACCTTGGCCTTTTCAACAACAAAAAAAAAAAAACACGAAAATATTTTCAAAAAGTGAGGTATTCCGTCTCAGCTGAGTGAAGAAACTACCGTTTTGGCAACCTGGAGTAAAGGTTTTAATCTGCCAAATGAGTTGCCGAGCCAGTGAAATAGGTGGATTTTTCACTTACATGCTTTCTTCCTTTGTGACCCACAATCCCTAATTTGGGGAGGACAAGCTGCCCAACGGTTCCTGGCCTCATGAAACGTTGTGGGGCACCGCCCCCACGGCCGCAGAGTTGTGGGGGCAAGCTTCCCCCACTGCCCCCTCCCCCGGTTCCCACGCCTATGTATGAATCTATGAAATCATGTTGGTAGATTTCCGATTTCGATTCCTCCAGCTGGGGGGCTCAAATACATTACGAGCCCCCCCAGCCGAAAAGCTGAGGGGGCTCAGCCCCCGCTAGCCCCCCCCCCCCCCCGGTTCCCGCGCCACTGACTAGGTATATACTATAATTCTACCAGTCGTTTTTGTCATGAAATTTCAAAATTTCGAATTTTTTTGTAAAAAAAAAAAAATACATGTCATAGCTAGAAGGGAACCTGTGTCACCATCGGATTCCTCGCACCATTGCGCGTCGAATGATATGTAAAACGAGTGAGTAACGACTGGTGAAAGGCAAGATTTAACACAAAAGTTGATTTTGCCCCCCCCCCCCAACCGAAAATCTCTGGCGACGCCTATGAATGTCAGAGAAGTGGCCTGCACTTGGCCTGACCTGCAGTGCACCTACATACCAATTTTTAGAAGAATCAGTTCAAAAATGTGGGAGTTATTCGACGTCAGTCGTCACGACACACAAGTTTTTTTAAATTATTTGAAAGTTTTGGACCCTGTACGGAAACAAAAATAGCACTATTCGATTCGCCGTGAAAAACTGCATCAGATAGACACCTTTTTAGGTCTTGACAACCAACTTCAAAATTTGACCTTACTTGACCCGACCTTGACCTGGCCTCAACCTGAAATTCATCCAGATGTTTTCCATATCACTTATTAAGTGTGCCTTTTGAATTCTACGAATAAAATGAATGACCCATAAAACGTGTGTCGCACATGCCCTTTTCTATATTTCGTTTTTGGTGACCTGACTTGACCTTGACCTTGACCTTTGCATGATATTGTATGCAACGAATATTGTCTTGGTAGCCTAAGAACACGTTTTGGGCAATCAGTCTCAGTCCATTCTTCGGCAACTACTGTGCAAGACCGATACTGTAGAAACTTGCATTTTGTACCCTTGACCTTACCTTGACCTGACCTGACCTGACCTACTTAAGCAAAAAAATCGGCTCTTAATATCCGCCTTGTTGAGAGCTTTCGATAATCGATTGTCGTTTTTTCCGTCTTTCTACGACCATCGGTTCGGAAGTTAGACAGGGGGCAGAATCTGCCCCCCCCCCCCCCCAGCAGGGCGCGTGTGGCTGAATAGCCCAGCGGGGCGCGGGTTAATAATGAATGGTTAGTAAATGGCTAACCAGGGAACAATTGTTAAATTTGTTATGCTTTGCTAGATCAATACATTAGTGCTTGACTCAGTGTGGTAGATAGGTATCGTATCTACTCTCAGTTTTATTGTTCAATTCAAGTAAGGGGAAGAGCAAAGTTCATAGGCACTTTTAATTACAAAAAAACTGCATTGTGCTTAATTAGCAATAAGCATCCATGAATAGAACAGGTAAACATTGATTCCGCAGTCCACATTTTCAGTTACATGAAATACTGGCCTGTTATCTCAGTTTTGTCTCAAAAGAAAAGAAAGTGAATTCAAAAAGGTAGAAATTAAGCCAGTCCTGTAAAACCATTAGGTAACCCTCGCATGTGTGCCAAGATTGCGTGTGTGCGCCGTGCGGCGTTTTCCAGAGTCTAACGTGTAGGGGGGGGGGGGGGCGTCGAACCGCTTGCCGATCGGCCCCTGATCGAGCTAGAGCTTCGCGAAAAAACGAGCGTGTGGCCCGTGACGAGAGGAAGCCGATGATACCCAATTTTAAGGTCCTAGGTCATTGGTTGACTTTCCAGGTCAGGTCAATGATACAGAAGTCGGGAAAATCGGGGCCGCCCTGCTAAAACCTCGTAAAGTGAGGGCGTTATGGTTTTTCGGGGTGCTGATCACGTATTTCGTGTCAGTTTTGATCACAGATGATGTCTTCATGCATTTAGGCCAGGTCGGGTCAGGTCAGGTCAGGTCAACCAGTAGTCGTCCTGCCGGCTATCCATAGTAGGTATCAACCACCACTGACTTAACCCGCGCCCCACTGGGGGGGCTATTTATAGCCCCCCTCCCGTTTTTCTGCAATAACTTCCAAACCGCTTGACGGATCGACGCCAAACTTTCAGTAACTTCGGCTGCATCAATTTGACACCTTGTGTCAAAATTTGAACTTCGTAGCTACCATAGGTCGGCCGGAAATGACGTCAGAGTGACGTCATGTTCGTCCGATTTCGACGCAAAACATTGAACCACGGCAATCGCTCCCAAGAGCTCAGTTTTTAAGCTAGATCCAATTTCTTTGCATGAAAAGACTCAGAATTGACCGCGCTATCAAACTGCTATCTCGGATTTTCAACATTTTGAAAATTTCGAAAATTGTATATAATAATATTCAAAATTTATATTTTTATATTTTTTTCAAAAAGTTTTTGACTTTTCGAAAAAACCGGAATATATGTGACAGAACGCATGCTTATGACTAACTCTAGCAAGTTTTAGCCAAATATCTTCAAAAATGGCCAAGTTATACGCATTATTGCAAAAAATTCACAATTATTAATTTTTCAAATCAATTTTTCAGTACGTATTTGACATCGTACACCAATATAAATGGCACCATCGTGTTCCTGAGCTCAAACTGCATCCAATAGACACCTTTTTTGTTGAAAAATTTTGACTTCAAAATTTGACCTTTTTTGACCTGAAAGTGACCTGACCTAAGCTAAATTCAACTCAAAATGACCTCGAATGACACAGACGACATCAAATTCGAAATCTATGACCTAAATGGACCATAAAACATGTGTCACGTGACTGAGTCATGATATAATATTTTCGTGACCTGTGATGACCTGACCCTGACCTGAAAATCAAAGTACAAGTTTGGTACCCTCAAGGTATCTAGAGCATCTGTTCACGAGTGTGGAAACCAAAAATGAGCCTGATCTGACTTGTAAGACGGCGGCCAGAGCCCAAAATGTGAACAAGCCATAATGCTAATATTTTTTACTTTGACCTGACCTGTGACGTCATCGGTGACCTCGAGGTCAATGAAATTAGGTTTCGCTCGACAGTTTTTCCGGGGCTATCAGACGCCGTTTGAATTTTGACGATCGGCCCAGTAGTTACGGAGTTAGGAGGGGGGGCTATGAATAGCCCCCCCCCCCCCCCAGTAGGGCGTGTTATACACAGACCCCAGTGGGGCGCGGGTTAACATGTTACGAAAACGAAGGTACTAAAACTACTTCGTAAATGTTCAAATGGATGCTAAATTTGAAATCAGCCCAAAAAAGCTACCCTAGATACATGTAAAACTCGAAAGAATGAACCGAGGTCATGATAGGCCAATGACCTGACCTGACCTTCAGATGACCTTGACACCCACCGTAATGCCTGGGACGAACATCATTTCACATGTTTGGACGTGTTTACAATCACAAAAAGACTGGAAACGCGCGGATACTGTGAGCTGCTATACCTACGCTGAATCGCGATTCCGGGCAAACATGGTCTCGAGAAATAGGTCACAGGTCAAAGGTCCTTTGGGTCAGAGTCACGAAATTTTCAGGATCGGTGTAAAATTGATCAACTCTAGGGTGCTGGTAAGTTTCGTCGCGGTCGGCCGCTTTTTTGCGAGTTATTCGCGAAAAACGAGGGGGATCCATCCGACCCCCCCCCCCCCCTACACTTGCGAGGGTTAAATTGTTGTAGTATTTCAAATGCTTCAGCAAGACAGATGTCACAGTATTCAATGTAGCACTCGAGTGATTGCAATGTTGTGCTTGGTCTCCAGGTAACCATGCTGAACCTGTGGAGGCTCTTCACCATTGTTTTTGTAATACTGCAGCTCCAGTCACATATGAGAGCGAGCAGAGCTCAGCCAGACACCCCGGCGGATCTGCCCGTCCTGCTCTGGTGGACGCCGTTCAGTGACGATCCTGGCTACGTGCAGGAGTGTGGTGAGCAGAGCTGCTTAGTCACTGACGCCCGCTCGCACATCAACAGCCCCCAACTGAGCTGGGTCCTGTTCTATGGCACTCTGCTGGAGCCGTGGGACCTGCCTCTGCCACGCAGCGCTCGCGTTCCCTGGGGCCTCCTGCATGAAGAGTCGCCCAAGAATGCGCCTATTTTCTGTCACGACGACTGTATCTCTTTGTTCAACCTCACGGCCACGTTCCGTTCAGGCAGTGACCTGCCGCTGACCCTGCAGTACCTCTCGTCGCTGGAGGCGCTGACCTCTCCTGCCGGCGTGGTGCCCATCGTGGAGAAGCTGGCCTCGGAGCGCGCGCCGCTCGTCTACCTCGCCTCAGGCTGCGACACGCCCGTGCAGCGGGACGCGTTTGTCGCCGAACTAATGCAGCACATCGCTGTGGACTCCTTGGGCGCCTGTCTCAACAATCGCCCACTGCCTGTGGAGCTGGCCGACCCCAGCGAGGCCGACCCGGCCGCTTTGGACGCCTTCCTGGCGCCCTACCGGTTCTACCTGTCTCTGGAGAACGCCGTCTGTGACGACTACATCACGGAGAAGCTGTGGCGTCCGCTGCGGCTCGGCCTGGTGCCCGTCTACCATGGAGCGCCGAACGTGCGCCGCTGGCTGCCCAACAACGACTCGGCGCTGCTCGTCTCCGAGTTCGAGTCGCCGCGTGCGCTCGCCGCGCACCTGAAGCGACTCGGCGCCGACTCTGAGGCCTACTCGGCGCATCTCCGCCACAAACGGGGCCAGGTGGACAACGCCGAGCTAAAGAGGACGCTGGCGTCGCGGCCGTGGGCAGCTCTGGACGATACGCTCAGTGATGCGCCGAACCTGGTCGAGGCATTCCAGTGCCGGGCGTGTGAGCTGGCCTGGGAGGCGCGGCGGACTGGAGGGACGGCCTCCAGAACCGCCGACAGTGGTCACTACGGGTGTCCGCGGCCGGCGCCACTGCTGGCGGACGGTGACGCCTCCTGGTGGGCCGAGCAGTGGGAGCGCGCCGCCCTGGAGGCCGCCCAGATGCGCCGCTTGGTGGTCGAGGGACGCGCTGTCTCCAGAGAGGATTTCCACAGACGCGTGCTGAGTCGGCTCAGCGCTGGGAGAGACGAGCTGTGAGGTCGTCAGCGGCACAGCGAGAGTGCCGCTGCTGGCCGAGCCGACGGGGGATGCGTGGTGCTCCTCTCAGATGTGGGAGCTCGGGCAAGTGACTCTGACTGGTTGTGTTTTCCAGTATATGCAGTGATCCAGAAAATGACGAGCACGGCACGCTTTTACGTTCAGAGAGCAGAGCCTTGCCGTGCACTGTGGTCGATGGTGTGGGGCGCTAGTCAGCTTTGGCTGACTTCACGTATATCTGTGATAAAGACTGCTGCCCTCTGGGCTGTCTAATTCAATCTGAGCTTCCACGAGGTTCGTTTTCAGGGCACAATGATTCATTCCTTAGTCAGCGTTGGAGGGTACATATTTTGTCTGTACTTGTTATAGTCCTGCTATGGTCATACCCGATATTTGAAGTGTATTTACTCGTATGGTATACCGTATAGGTACGAGATTAACCCGCGCCCCACTGGGGTCTGTGTATAACACGCCCTACTGGGGGGGGGGCTATTCATAGCCCCCCCCTCCTAACTCCGAAACTACTGGGCCGATCGTCAAAATTCAAACGGCGTCTGATAGCCCCGGAAAAACTGTCGAGCGAAACCTAATTTCATTGACCTCGAGGTCACCGATGACGTCACATGTCAGGTCAAAGTAAAAATTATTAGCACTTTGGCTTGTTCACATTTTGGGCTTTGGCCGCCGTCTTACAAGTCAGATCAGGCTCATTTTTGGTTTCCACACTCGTGAACAGATGCTCTAGATACCTCGAGGGTACCAAACTTGTACTTTGATTTTCAGGTCAGGGTCAGGTCATCACAGGTCACGAAAATATTATATCATGCGTCGGTCACGTGACACATGTTTTATGGTCCATTTAGGCCATAGATTTCGAATTTGATGTCGTCTGTGTCATTCAAGGTCATTTTGAGTCGAAATTAGCTTAGGTCAGGTCACTTTCAGGTCAAAAAAGGTCAAATTTTGAAGTTGAATTTTTTCCACAAAAAAAGGTGTCTATTGGATGCAGTTTGAGCTCAGGAACACGATGGTGCCATTTATATTGGTGTAGAATGCCAAATACGTACTGAAAAATTGATTTGAAAAATTATCAATTGTGAATTTTTTGCAATAATGCGTATAACTTGGCCATTTTTGAAGATATTTAGCTAAAACTTGCTAGAGTTAGTCATAATCATGCGTTCTGTCACATATATTCCGGTTTTTTCGAAAAATCAAAAACTTTTCGAAAAAAATATAAAAATATAAATTTTGAATATTATTATACAAAATTTTCAAAATTTTCAAAATTTTGAAAATCCGAGATAGCAGTTTGATAGCGCGGTCAATTCTGAGTTCTTTCATGCAAAGAAATTGGATCTAGCTTAAAAACTGAGCTCTTGGGAGCGATTGCTGTGGTTCAATGTTTTGCGTCGAAATCGGACGAACATGACGTCACTCTGACGTCATTTCCGGCCGACCTATGGTAGCTACGAAGTTCAAATTTTGACACAAGGTGTCAAATTGATTCAGCCGAAGGTACTGAAAGTTTGGCGTCGATTCGTCAAGCGGTTTGGAAGTTATTGCAGAAAAACGGGAGGGGGGGCTATAAATAGCCCCCCCCAGTGGGGCGCGGGTTAATGCGGGTATGATACACTGTTGGTGTTACATTGTTTATATTATTTTTATGCATAATATGGGCATCTATATTACTATTTGAGGAAGGCGTAGTTTCTGTCTATTACGAAGGTCGCGACATGGTGCTACGTAGCGCGGGTTACAGGTCACACCGTTGCACCTACCGCGCTGAAATTTGCGCAAGTTATAGAACAAGGATGGACAACGTGCCTTTGAGCGGTCTCGGCTCGATCGGATCGATAGCGAGCGCGTGGCGCGTGCCCAAAAAGTGCAAATTCGCGTCATAGACTTTACATGTATAAATCGGCTGGCAAAAACGGGCGAAAATGGCTAAATTTGCCCGACACGGGTCCGTTCCCCGTGCAATATCTCGGTAGCCGTGCGCCCGATCGGCACGGGGAAAACAGCATCGTGTAGAGAATCGAACGGGCAATCGAATAGTGTGCGGTGCAGGGGTGGCACGCGCCACGTGCAAGTGTGAGGGCAATTTCATTTCAAAAAGTGCTATTTCAAACGGATTTTGGATTTTATTTTATTTTCCCGTGACCATCAGACTGAGAGAGTTGAAACAACGTCAATTGCCAAGAGAAATGTACCGCCTCTCATGGAAAAATTGTGGACAGCTAATTGATCAAAAACAATGTGGAAAAATCGCTGAATTAAAATGGTATTTGTCCATAATGTGCCACTAAAAAGATACACGGGGTTTGCTGCTTAACCTGATACGCTTGACAATTGAAAATGCTATCATTAGAAAGAGCATTCAATTCTCTCCAAGATCCAATCATCACGTTTGCATGACAAGCAACAGTATTCTTAGAAATATAAATGTTTTAAACCTCTGCAAAACGATTTTTAGCGAAAATTATCTACGCCTTTCATTTGTCTTAAAACTACGCACCTCAATTATAAAGCACATTTGACAGGTTCACTGAACTATTGACAGGTTCTGAAGCAGAAAGCATGCTTATCAGACACGGGCACCTCGATCCGATGGATATTTTTTTTTCCAAACAAAATCGTTTAGCCATCAAAAAGCAATCGCCGAAATGGATAGATAACCCAACCGACACAAGAAAAACCAAACACCCGCCGATCGTAAATACCCCTTTTTCGCGTTGCGGAGCACGCGGGTCACCCTAGTGTTTTGCCATTTGAAGTATTTTGTACTTTGAATACAAGCATGCTTATGATTGATTGTTTCATACCAATGCTAACTTCTATCAGTGCAAGTGACTCGAAGAAGTAGAAGGGGAGCAGACCATTCGTGTTAGCCTAAACTTCCTTCACACAGAGTGAGAGGACATTTATTTTCTAGATGAAACGTTTCTTATACCGCATATTTACGTTAGAGGACGCAATGTAGGTATGAACTCTTATTTATCCGTGAAGCTTAGCATAGAATAATAATATACACAAAGCATACAGCCGGTCCTGCACTCGGGTTATTACTCTACACTGTAGTAACAACTACACTGAGATCGCAGTTTTGTAGTCCTGGAAATTTTACACCTCTTTGGTGTGCAACATTTTTTCTATCTTCAAAACTGTAGGCGTGACAGCTCTTCCCGCAAAACCTTTTTGCGGAAAGAATGCGTTCGACCACCTGTTGCCTGTCATCTCGTACCTACCTAGACAGGTGGCTGCTTCACTGGCATTATTGATGAGCCGATGGCCACCACCGTGCGGCAATCTTGTGCGTTCGACTGGCGACATTGCTTTTTTATAGCTTCACCGACCGAGGAAAAGATCCGGAGCTCCAGCAAAGGAAACACCCAGAGTTGTCGACTACCAGACCGAGATAACAGTTGACGAACAGTAGGAAGACTATCTCCGTTCACGACGAGACGCTGCGGCGGTGCCTGGAGGAGGAAGCAATACACCTGCTGGAAGGCATCCGGAGGAACGGACGGCCGGACGCCGACCGCCGCGCCAGCCTGTCGGAGGTGGGAGGGGCGAGGGAGGAGAGGGAAGGAGAAGGACAAAGACCGACGGCTGCTGCGCCTGCCGATCTCAGGTGAGAGTGACGGAGAGGAGCAATATTACTGTGCCTGAGGGGCTCGTGGGACACTCGGATTGGAGGTGGGCGATGTGGCTACTGCTCTCATCAGGAAGGTGACGGGGTTTTGATTCGGTCTACATGTGCGTGTTATTTATGTCCTCTCATCCCATTAGCGTTGTGCCTGTGTATTTCCCTGTCGCCCGGGTGGCGAAATGGCTCCACTGTCACGCTGTGTCCACTGAGATAACGGTTCAACGACTGACGGTAACTCTTCCCACCGATCGTGACTGGTCCGCACCGCCCAGAGCGTGTCCGTCCCGTGCGTGTCAGACCCGGCTCCCGGAGCTGCTCCGTTGGACTCAGACGCTCGGTCACCAAAGTTGATTAGTTTTATGCGACTAGAAAAACGGCGATGACAGCCAAAATCTATTTTCATGACGCTAAGTGGATACCAGAGCAGCTTTGCTGCTTGCCTACTTATTTGAAATAATTATTTAAGCTTTAACTCTTTATGAAAAGTTCTCTGTAACGCAAAGAAACGAATGAAACTACCTCCACCCCGTCTAGCACCGCAGGTTTTCGGGGCGCTCTCGCCGCCGCTCACCATCGTCTGCGTAAGATCATGCAGCCCAACGAGAACCCGGACGACTTCCTGCCGTCCGTGATGACGTGCGTCAACTACCTGAAGCTGCCCGACTACACCAGCCTCGAGATCATGGCTGAGCGCATCGCCATCGCCGTGCGCGACGGACGGCTCAGCTTCTTGCACTTGAAGTGCGGCCGCCGCCGAGTTGCGAACGAAGTTGTGATGCCATGGAGACGTCATACCATATGGTATATAAACCTGCTACACTTTTTGTCAATGAGAAAAGGACTGAATACACACGTTGAGTCGTCCAGCCATGTATAAAGAATGGAGGGGAGGCAGCCGCAGGCGCATATTCCACCTGACAAATTGGCTACCAAGCTACGCTTACGGTCACGCAACGGAATGATAACTAGCGATGATAGACGTTTACCTGCGATACTGGGCCATACCGGGTTGATCGGGTAAAAACCGGTCTGAACTGGCTGTCGCTAAACCAGGCGAAAGGCACGATTGCACATGGATAGGGGGCGGGCTGGTCGGTCAGGCATGCCTTCCACTTATGGTCCCGGGGGTGGGAATACTTCGACACACGTTTCGGGGGTGGGCAGCTCTTTGAGAAGGGTCAACGACGCTGCACGACAACTTTCACCCTCGGTGGGGAGCGGGTGGTCTCTCACGCTCGGGGCCTGCCGCTGCCCCTGGCTGCCGGCCGAGGTGACCGGCGTGGGTGAAGAGCCATGACTCGCGCGGCAGCTGGGGAGGGGAGGGGAGGGTCGGCGGTGACCAGAGGTGACCGGCAGCTGGGGAAAGGTGTTGGGTCACTGTCCGGTGGTGTAATGTTTGGTGACGGCTGGGAATGTGATAATCGTGATGACATCGTCAGCTGGTGACGACTAGGGACACAAGTGGTTGAGCGTGACGACGATCAGCACCGGTGGGCTCCGAGACAACGTGATTGCTGGTGTGGCTCAGCCGATCTTTGGTGTGTGACAACCAGTTGGTACGCATTGGCAAGTTTGTCTGGCATAGCAATATGAATAACAGTTTTACTCACTACGCTGACAAGAACGGAGTATGGATCATCTCAGTATGGCACGTGCGTGGTCTCCCCTCTGCAGCTGCCCGGTCGTCATCCGTATTTCTCACTATTCTGGGCGGGTGGGGGACCGAGGAAGGCAGGGTACTGGTCAGACTCGACTCGCGACGGGCCGGAGACTGAGCCAAGACTCGTCCCGCGACGGACCGAGT